TGAAAATAAACTCTTTGCTTTGAAATAAGTAAATTGACTAATTTGTTTTTTTGTCGTCTATTTAAGAACCGGTCCTGATATTTTGTATTTCAAAACGTCCTCAAATTGGACTTGAAAACACTTTTTCCATTTAACCAACTTTGTGTCACCAATAGTTTTATAAGAAAGCAATAGTAATACCTTTCAATTACAAAGTGAACACACTGTATATTTCTCTTCAATAAAGTCCCGAAATATCACATACACTATTATACAACTATTTGTGACCTTGCCGATAATAAGAACCGGCCTCAACTCCTTGTGGACACAGGGTTGTATTTACAAAGATTAACTTTAATTATGGTAGGGGAGCCAGTGACACTTTTAGTTGTGGCATTTGCGCAAGGCAAAATTAAAATTGTTAGTTCATTCTTACATTGTAGAACATGGAAATACTTTGCTGCTATCCCTGCAGTAGAGGAGCGCTCGACAAAGACGTCTTAGAAAAGCCGTTGTAGAAAATGCTGGCACATATTTGATTAGATAATTAACTTGACATAAGGTTGTTAAGCGCTTAACTTTGGATCTCGCGAGGAGGATTTAATTCCCGATGAAAACAATCCTTTTCGTAATTTTTTATTTAGGAAAAATACGAAAAATAACAAAATACGACTAAAGCTTTTTATTTATTTTGAATACATTTAATTTTCATAATATAACCAACTGTCTACGTAAGTTGGAGGCATATGAAAAATTTCATTTTATTGTTAATATTAGGAAATAAGTTATTCTTCATAAAAAGTCGAGCATGGTCTAAAACCTAAAATATAACTTTCGAATATCAAATTTTATCAGTCGTATACGAGGTTTGTCTAAAATAAAGGTACTTTACTTTTCAGCAAAAATCATAGTTTTTGACAAACCTCGTATACGACTTAAAAAAATTGATATCTGATGGTTGGTTGCATTTTAAGTTTTGGACCATGCAGAACTTTTATCAAGAATAAATTTTTTCACAAAACCAATAATAAAAAAGATTCCCATGTGGTTCTAACTTAGTGAGACATACTGTATATAAAAAACTAAACAACTACATGTTAAAAATAAAATATAGGTAGTTGTTTACATCCCTGGTTAGATAATTAATCTTTAATATTATATTTACAAGACTAAAGTTTTGAACATATAAATACAACCCTGTGGTACAAGGAGTTTAATGTTAGAGATGAGGCTGGTTCTTATTATAAGCTGTCAAAAAAGCTGCTGAAGAGAACAACTGTTTTGTAACTATAAAGACTTCTTTATGAGTACACCACTGGTTTTGAACTTATTATAAGGCAAATTACTGTTTCTCTTCTAGGGATTTTGATCATTTTTATTTTAAGGTCTGTTGATTTTATCGATATTTTGTGGAAGATATACTTTTAAAAAGTAAATAAAATGTTTAGAAAGACTTTTGGAGTTTATTAATCAAATTGACAAAATTACTTTTTTTTAAACATTTCTATAACTACTTATTTTGGAGTAAGTGTATATCATAAGTATATAGACTAAATATATGATAATTATAATGATTACTTCAACACCTTCCCTCATTAAATACATTTTTCATTTCAGTTTAGTCCTAAATCGTGGCATCTGTAGTCTTGGTCTAAATAGTGGTTTGGTCATCATATCTGCTAGTTCGAATTCATTGGCAACTCTATGTACTTCAATTGATCCTTTCATGACTAGTTTCCTTATGAAGAAGTGCCTCGTCTTAATGTGTTTCGTTCTTCTGTTATATTCTAGATTATTTGCTATTTTGATGGCTGCTTCATTATCAACCTTCACTTTTGGTGTTTCAGTTAATTAGCTCTCTGGCAGCTTCGCTGTAGTGGAGATGGCGACTGATAACTGTCCCTGACTAATCCAGGATATCAAACATCCTGCGTACCTACAGATTACCCCTGTAGTTGAGCGACCTGCAGTGTTGTCTCCTCCATGATCTGCGTCACTGAAGGCTTCAAGAACGCCTCGTTTTGACTGACTTTTATATGTTATTCCGTGATTTTGGGTTCCTTGGAGATGACTCCTACAGCGTATGCTATGTCTGGTATATCATTAGGTACATAAGAGCTCCAGTCGCTTGGCGATACGGAAAACCTTCTGATTCGTCGGCCTTCCCTGAATCTGCGCTCTCCTTAATGATGGGAGTAGAGACGGATTTGCATGTACCCATTCCATATCTCTCCAGAATCTTCTTTGTATAAGCTTTTTAACTTACCAAAAAGGACCCGTCTTCCTTTCTATCTGTTTCTAGTCCCAAAAAGAATGATGCTGACTTTAATTTGATTTTAAACTGCTATCTGAAGTTTTCTAAGAAGCTTTGTTTTAGAAGTTCATTGTTGAGACCTATTAGCAGAAGGCTTCTTCCTATTCTTTTAATGTATAGACATGGGTCGGCTCTGCTCCTAGAAAAACCTTGCTCGACTAGGAAGTCTGTTAGTCTTTTATTCCAGAGTACCTGAGTGCTTGTTTAAGGCCGTAGAGGCTCTTTTTCAACCTGCAAACCCTGTCTGTCCCATCTTCGTAATCAATTGGTTGCTTCATGAAGCCTTCTTCCTCTAGGTATGGCTTCCAGATACGTAGATGGCTCATCAATACCTTGTATAAGGGCATAAGTTTCCATAACAACGTCGCAAAATTTCGTGGGGAGTTTTATTTTGGATCTATCTCAGCTGTCTTCCTGTTCCAGCTTCCTCTGAATAATCCTCATCTTCTGATGTTACTATTCTTTGATCATCATCTTCCTGAGCTATTTCGTCCTCTTCAACATCTGCAATATCGTTTATTGTGCATTTTTTCTGTATTCATCATTTGTTTGTGTAGTTCTTTCCTCAACTACTCTTTCTGATGAGGCAAAAGAAAAGTAATTTACCCTGCAGCTAAGAGGTCTCGTTCATAGAAAGTGACATCTCGTGACCTGACTAGTTTCTTATTTTCTGTACACCAGACTCGGCATCCATCGTCATTATTGTATCCGATCAATATTCCCTTAATTGCTTTCCTGTCTAACTTTTTCCTAGACTGTTTGGGAATATCTGCATAGCAAGTGCTTCCTATAATACGTAGGTGCTTCAGGTTGGGCTTTTTGGTAAACCATACTTCATAGGGTGTCTTACCATCGTCTCCTATTTAGTAGGTAGGCGGATGTAATCTCAGCCCAAAGAGACTGAATTTCTTAAATGCATTATGGTTCATACCATTTCAACGCTGAACCTGTTGTCTCTTTCTGTACACCTGTTTTGTTCTGGTGTGAAGAGTCTCTGTCTGACTCCATTCTGATGGGAGGATTTCTCTAATTTTTTCGTTGTTGAACTCTCCACCGTTGTCACTCAAAAGCTCTTTGACGACATGTCCGGTAGCTTTTGTGTCTGCAAGCATGATTTTGAGCTTCTCAGATACATCGGATTTTTCTTTGATTGGACAAATATATCTGAATCTGCTGTAATCAATCGTCGTTGAAGAGAACATAATATCGAAAATGAGTTTGTGAAGGTACAAAAGGTCCTCAAACATCTCTTACTCCAAATTTATATCGATGTGCTTTACCGAAGATACACCCTTCGTACAGTTCGCTATCCAACGCGACTCTTATCCCTAGTTCTCTACCGATTACTTCTTTCACGTGCTTTTTGTTCTGGTGACCTTCTCTCGTGATACAACTGTAATAGATTAACAGTAGCGACAGAGGTTACTTGAACTGTATTAGGTCTACTATTTTTGAAATGAAGCTTAAATAATCCTCCAAAGCGATTCCTGATACCCACGAGGAGTACTTTCTCATCTAAGACAAACCTACATTATTCAGCTTTCGAGAGAAAGTTACTTTCTGGGTGTTTGCCTTGAGCAGGCAAGACGGAGAACAAGCTTTTCTTAATGGAAGGTACGTACCATACGTCTAAGAGCTTGAGTTTTTTCCACTGGTTATTGACTTGTGCCTCAATCGATAAACTACCTTTCCCAATAGCTTCTACAGAGTCTACATTAGCGGTTGTCACCTTGTGGCCTTCTCCGAAGTACTCGAACGAATCACGTCTGTTAGTGATGTGATTTGTGGCCCCGTTGTCGACAAACCAGTTCACTGAATCACATTCAGTGGTAAGAACGATATCGGAACAGGCATATAACGTTACATTTGTATCAGTAGAGTTTTCTAGTGCGTTTCCGTTGGCGGTTCTATTGGATTTTGGTGGTTTTCCACTAGCTTTCCACTTTTTGCACTGTTTGACTCTATGTCCAGCTTTTTTGCAATAATGACAGAATATATTCTTGGTTGATTTGCATGCGCTGAATCTTCTGGTGCTTTTTTTCTGCCACTAAAACTTCTTGGATAATTTCACTTTTGTTTGATAATGCCTTTCCGTATGCACTTATTTGATATGTGAGATTATCAATGGTTTTACCGGACTTCGACATTAGCATCCAGCTGGATTTAAAGGGAAAATATTCTTTTGGTAATGTGGCCAGAATCTTGCAGATCAGTAGCATTTCGGGTAAGTCACAAGCGCAGGAACTGTTTGATGCTAGTTTATCGTTAACACATTCAGATTGTAATTCATTCCACACGTTTCTAGTTGGGACATGTGAGTTACAATATCATCTTCCAATTGTTTCTGGTATTTGTACCTATCGTACATTTATCCTCTGTTCTGGTATCAAATAGTTTGTGGAGTTCCAGCCATACGTCTCTTGCGGTAGAATATCTCATTACCTTCTGTAATGTTTCTTCCGTCATGTTCGTGGTAAGAGCTAGAAGTGCGGAATTGTCTGCTTTTATGAATATTTAGAGTTCATTATCAAATATTTGTTTTTATGCTGGAGTATCATCGGAAGTCACAGGTTTTTTCAATTTACCTATAATGACATCTGTGGCGTGAGGGACTCCTCTCAGGAGTATGCCCATTTTGTATTTCCAGGTGTAAAGACTAAATAAATTATATAATGATAACTTCAATATTTTGTCATTTTTAATGACACTGGCATTTTGTATATTTGACATTTTCAAAAAGAATCTATTAGAATAAAATTGTTCTCTATTCGTCAAACATGTTTTTTGATATATTCCATAAGTTTCCAAAACTACTTTCATTACAAGCTGCAAATGAAACTAAACCCGCAGGTGAAAATACACCCGCAGAAGAAGAGGTAGAGGTAATACCAGACCCGTTGGAAGTATTACGGGAGAAATGTCGGGAAACTGAACATGCCAAGAATTTAGCAGAGAAATATCAAGCCTGTAACGATAGAGTGCTGTCTAAAAAACGAACAGCCGAGACTTGCGTAGAAGAACTTTTTGATTTGCTGCATGCCGTTGACCATTGTGTTAAGAAAGATTTATTCAACGTTTTGAAATAATTTTCGGATTAACGTTTATTTTTTTTAGATTTTTCACTGTAAACTAGTGTTATATTGTTTCGGTTGAAATAAAACTGTTGCAAGTAAAATAATAAATATTTACTATTTTGTTTAATTCTGGAGTGTTAACCCACTTACATCAATGATAATACGAGTACAATCATTGAACGTATGCACACTAAAAGAAAATTAACGTTTTTTATGCTTGTATAATAAACTTTCCAAATACTAATAACACTGTATTAAAATCGTTTTCTTCGGTTTCTAACAAAGTTAATGATATTAACGACGGTGAATTGGGTAAACAAAATGTCATTAGACTGATGGACAGACCCACGATTCTAGAGCCAGCCATACGTGGATAAACTGTATTATTCTTTTAAATTGCTGTAAAGATTGTGAAATATCTTGTATTGGTCACGTTTTCATATGGATCTCTCGTTACAATTTACCACCGTACGAGTGAACTCCCGAAAGGAGACCTTGTGCGGTGGAGGTTTATCTACAGGGAGGCGCCAAGTCTCCTTCTCGCCGTCGTGCTGAAATGCGCCTTGAGCCAATATAATTTGTTTTTACCTTCGATCATATAAACAGTAGATACATAAGGCAAACCCCGTACTACAGTTAATGTTTTGTTCAATTATCTCAGAATATTTCGAACGATGTCGTTAGTTCATCCCACACTAGACATAGGTGGGCGAAATAAAAATTAAAAGGTCTGAAAAATTTTAATTACTGAAAATTGTATATGTATTTGTATTTGACACTGGTTTCAAAACCAACTGGTCAGTCAAGCTGAAAATTTATAATTGTTAAATAAAAAACGAAGCTAAATAAACTTTAATACAAAAATACCGTTGCAATGTAAAAGGTAATTATTCTTTCAACTTTGAAACCTTCGAGCATAGGTATATTACTAGAGCCATCGTCCAAATGGACCATGATTTGGTACAGGGGGAAAAATAGTGTCCAGCATTCCCATTTGTCTGCTTCATTTTGCTTGGCATGTCAAATCGTTCGAAATTGTCAGAACTGTCATTTGATTTTTGATTATCATTAATTTCTAGCTTATTTTGGCAGTTTATAAGTGTCTTTTTGTATTTTATTACTTTAGTGATACAAATTTTAACAAAGGTGAGAGTTTGTGCAAGTTTTAAATAGAAATATGAAAAGGCATCGACAAGATCATTTCACAAGTAAGTAACCATTAGCGTCTCTACCATTTTTTAAAAGGAACATAAGTACCTACATTTTATGCAAAACGAATTTAAAATGGTAAATTTAGTGAATTAAATTTAATGAATTTGTATTATGTATGAGGAATATTGTTTTAGATTTTGGACTCCACTGAAAAGTTAAAAAAAAATAATCACAATTTTTTTTTAATATAAACAAGCGTTTCGGTTTTATGTCATTTTATCATGATAATGTTGAAGATGTTATATCAATAATTTTTGTTTTTTGTAGGTTTCCAACTAATCCTGCCGAAAATCGCATTTGGTGAAACATATTGAAACTTACTCCAGAAAACATTTCAAATAGTGATGTTTTATTTTCCTATAATTTTTCTGTATATAGGTTTATGTCAAAGACTGGGCTATAATATTTGAAGCAATTATATAAAAACCGTGATAGAATATGATTTCTTTTTATTTTACAATAAGCATTCCAAATTAATAAGGGATCAAAAAAATCTCGATTTTTTGCGATTTTCTGTATCTTGGTAAAAATGGTCAGACGTGAATAAAAAAAAAAAAAACAACAAAAAAAAAAGCAATTTGTTGAAGCTTGAAGTGTCTAGTTTATGGATCTTGCAATAAAAAAAATTTCCAACCAACAATAAGCACAAAATCCTGATGAATATCATGGATAGAAAAAACGCGATCCTTCAATTTCTTCAAAAATTCACTCGCATGAAACAATGAAACGGGGCTTGATGGCTCAGGTTGTAGGGCTTTCGGGGGAACAATGGCCTGTAAGATGCACACTCAACATTAGTCATTTTCCCAATATTCTCAATGTGGCACGTGATTTTCTAAAAAACCTCGAAAGACCTGTTTTCCGAAATTCTTCATTCAGGACATATAAGCCTATGTGTCTCCTTAATGTATTTGCAAAATTGATGGAGCATCTTCTCCTAGGAAGGCCGAAGAGGGAAATAGAGAGAAACGGTGACTTGTCTAGTGAACAATATGATTTCTGAGAGGGCAGATCAACCATCGCTATGGAAAAATTTCAGCAAATAGCAGACGAGGCAAATGAGAGACCAGGCAGAAAAAGGTGTGCCCTCATTACAATAGATGTAAAAAATGTCTTTAATTCTGCCCCGTGGGATGGAATTCTAGAGGAACTGAGAAACCGAGGTGTAACCCCACAAACGTATAACCTAGTGGCCAGTTATCTAGAAGACAGGTGGCTCCTCATAGGGACAGAATGAAAAATGAGGATGACGTGCGGAGTACCTATACAAGGCTCTGTTATAGAACCAATTTTATGGAATGTGTACTACGATGGCATCTTAAAACTCCCGGTACCACGCGAGGTGAAGCATAGTAGTGACGTGAAAAGTCGCGGAAAAATTGCAAACAATGGCAAATGTGGTCCTAGAAAATATAACACAATGGTTGGCAGCAAAAAGACTAGCCCTAGCCCTTACAAACAACTGAGATGGTTATCTTAGCAGGAGGAGGTACCGTCAAGCAAATCAATGTTAGGGTGCAAGACGTAACAGTAACGAGCCAAAAGGAAGTCAAATATCTTGGAGTATACTTTGACCATAACATGAGAATGAGACAACAACACGTCAAAAATGTGGCTAAAAAAGCGGAAAGGGCCGTAGCAAATATTAGCAGAATTCTATCCAACACTGGAGGACCACGAGAAGGAAACCGGAGAATTTTGTGCAGCGTAGGTAGCTATGTCCATAATTCTTTATGGGACAACGATATGGAAACGAGCCATGGAAAAACAAATATATAGGAACACTCTTCTAAAAGTTCAAAGAAAAGTACCAATCAGAATTGCCTGCGCATACCGAACTACCTCAACGGATGCATTATTGGTCATCCCCAGAACACCCCCTATCCATCTATTAGTGAAAGAAAGTTGCGCTATGCGAAATGACATGGATAAAAGAGTGGCTACTGACCACACAATTCAGAAATGGCAACAAGAATGGCAACGAGAAACTTACAAAAGTCATTGGACGAAAAGGCTAATTCCCAATATTGAATCATGGGCTACAAGAAATCATGGCGAGGTCTCATACTACCTTACACAGCTAATCTCCGGACACGGGTGTTTTCAGGCATACCGATATACGTTCCACGTCACAGAGAGCAATGAATGTCATTACTGCAGGGAAATAGATACAGTAGAGCACACAATTTTTGAATGCCAAAGATGGAGCAATGAAAGGACGATGCTAGAAATCAAGATTGGGAATATAAATCCGGAAAATATAGTCAACAAAATGTTAGTAAACCAAAACAACTGGAATTATATAAGCCACTTCGCAACGGTAGTACTAAGCAAGAAAGAGGCCGATGTCAGACAGAGGGAGAGGAGATAGACATAACAACAGACACAGCGCCCATTCTACTAGAAGCAATGCCGAAAGGCAGTCCCTGGTAGACCACGGAAAGGCAGCGGAGGGGTTTTTGACGAAGTTGCACCCGACACTACCAAACATATTGACCCAGTGTTTGGTGCCAATCGGTTTCCCCTCTGCAAAAAAAAACTAGCAGTGTAGGCAGTAAGCGAATAGACAGTGGCAGTACCACACCAACATTGTTTTTTGAGAATACTTGATCGTGAATTAAACCATAAGTAGTGTAGACCTTCCTTAGGGATGAAATATCCCTTTTGTTAACAATAATATGAAATATTAGACAGATTAAATCTTAGATGGGCTATTGCATCAATTAGGCTTAGGATTTAATGGAGTCGTTTTAGCAGAAATTTAATTTCTGTTGATATGACATCCATATTATAAAAATCGCCATGCGTTACCGTTTCGATGATGGTGGGTGGAGTTTACCTCATCTGTAAGTCAAATGATGGTGTCATTTGACTTAGGCACCTACAAAAAACATGTCTAAAAAATTCTTAGGTGTAAATTAGTTTTATGATACTTAGAACTATAATAAAATACGAATTTTATTGCTGTTTGTCATGTCATGACTCATGGGTCATGGCTCATTTTCTAAGGTTTTATTCAAATAATTACTGTTCGTGAATATAAACTCTGTTCAAGTATCCAATCATTGAGTTTATATGAAGTGATCCATAAATATTGACGCATTTCCGGACGAACAATTCTTCTTCTTGTTAAGTATCAGTTTGGATTTGATTCATAGCTTCCGCAGACATGACTCGTATCTCTGTATTTGTCGATCATGGCCTACTTTAGACATATTTTTTTTGTCCCATCACTCTTTACTAAGGGTTGATGTTATACAAGCTGTTACTATTGGGTGCAAGATTACGTATACCATCCTTTTAAAATTTAATTTATATCAAACATAGGTACGATTTTTTATAATCCAGAAAAAAAATACCACCTTTAAAGTTAAATAAAACAAGGAGCAGTCCCAAAATAATCATTGTTATCGTTATAGATATACAGATAAAATAATAACGACGGGTTTATTAAAAATATTAATCCTAAAAATTTTACGTGCGTCATCATCTAAAAATAAATTTTATTACTCTATGTACTTTAGCTATTTTCTTATTGGTACTAAGTAGTATAAGTAAGTAGGTTTATTTAAAACGTTTTAAGCAATACTTGTTCAATGGTCAGCTATAACGAATTTGAAAAGCTCTAATTTACACCAATAATTCTTCAAGTAAGACACACTTCGACAATGTTAGACAAAAAGATGAGATTTGTTTTTTCATTTTACTCTAAGTATAATTATTGTTAATTACATAATAATAATAATTTTATGACTGTGTACCAGAAGCCGAAACATCTGTAGATACCTAATAAAATATATTTCCTATGACTGATAAAACAAATAGAGTTTATTCCATTATTTGAAAAAATATATATATAATTGATTTTCATATCGTGTTCCCTA